AAAAAATTAATTACAACCACATTCCCAAATTTTCTAAAAATTGCAAATGATAACTTGATAATTACCATATTAAATAAATTGAAAAAAATCAAAAAATTAAGAAAAAAAAATTTTAAAATGAGTTGTCTTCTTCACCCCCACACACCCCACCCCACACTACTATTCATCTTCTTCTTCCCCCACCCCACCATACAAAATCTCTCTACACAGTAAATCCTCCAAATTCGAAGCCCCATTACATCTCTCTGCACAATGGGGTTTGATACTGGATATGAAAATGAAGGAGCTTGTACAAAGAGGGGAGTGTAGAGAGATGTGATGGGGCTTCGGATTTGGAGGATTTGCCGTACACCAAAATAATTATTTTGGTGGAAAGTCTCTCTCTGTCTCTTTTTCTTAATTTTTTTCTTATAAAGAAGAAGATGAATAGTAGGGTGGGTGGGGTGTGGTGAAGAAGACAACCCATTTTTTTTTCTTAAATTTTTTATTTTTTTCAATTTATTTAATATGGTAATTATCAAGTTACCATTTGCAATTTTTAGAAAAGATTTTTTTTTATTTTTTTTTAGTTTTTTTGTTTTTTTTTTTTTTTTTTGGTTACGGTCATCCGATACAAAACCCGTTTTATTTTGAGAATCTTTGTACTTGTTGAGCGCCGATTCCTATTATAGTACTGTAGCTTCTTCTTATCTGTTTTGAGTTGGGTTAAAACCCCAAATGGTCACTGAACTTTGCTCGAAGTCCCTTAGGAGCTCATCGAACTTCAAAACGTCCCTAAGTAGTTACTGAACTTTGCTCGAAGTCCCCCAAGAGGTTATCGAACTTGAAAACGTCCCTCAATGGTCATTGAACATTACAAAAAGTTCCTAAAGGGTCGCTGAAGTTTGCAAATTAGTACCCCACTCATCTTTGCAAAGTTCAATAATTTGCAAACTTCAGTGACCCCCTAGGAACTTTTTACAAAGTTCAGTGATCATTTAAAGACGTTTTGAAGTTCAGTGATCTCTTGGAGGACTTCGAGCTAAGTTCAATGAGTATTTAGGGATGTTTTAAAGTTCGATGAGCTTCTTGGGAATTTTGGGCAAAGTTTAGTGACCATTTGGGGTTTTTTCTCTTTTGAGTTGGATTAAATCTTGAGTCCCATCACCTTACATTAACGTACCAAAGGTGGGCTTCCTGTGGGGGTGGAAAACTCGTATTTATGAACCATATCTAGAATTTTGGCCTCAAAGTCATCCCTTGAGATAAGGTCTGCGTCAAAATCTGAAAAGATTAGTAGATATACACAAAGAAAGTTCACAAGAATTTATAAATTGTTAAATTTATAAATAGATATAAATAAGTAATAGATAAATAGATAATATCTGTGGACTCATTCAAAGGTATGATAAAAAATGAAGTTTGATTAATTTATAAATGATTTATAAATTTGCTGAATGAAGGTTATATACTAGTTGACTTTATTTTCTTCATCTATATTTAGCCGTTATAATTTGCAATTGAATATGATTAAAAGAAGAGAGATGCAAACAGATTATCAAATGTATATTTTTAACCTAATAAAATGCCAACAAAATCTTGTAGAGCCAATTAAAGGACTAAGTCAACAACACAAATCATAAATCCTGGTTAAAGATTAAAGAATGCAACCAACACTTCCACCCCACTACCCCAAATTATTACATAAAGTGTCATGAGAGAAGGTTCCTTGATGATAAATAAGTTGGAGGCCCCTGAGAATGATCTAATATAATGATATGAGTTTTAAATGTCTCCAATTAAAGTATGATGTAGGACTATATGCAGGGTCGGATCCAGAATTGGATCCAAGATTGGACTATAAAATTTCAAATCGGGCTACTACGTGGAAAAAAAAATTACACATAAAAAACTGATTTTTTACCAAAATAAAAAATACCTTTAAAAAAAAATTGTTGGGCCTGAGAAGGGGGGAGGCTACAGCCCTACCCTTCCCTAACAATATGAGTACGACTCTTACACTACTCTTTCATGCGACTCAAAAATAGCATGTCGGGAACTCACTTGAGTTTATCTTTATCCAATCGAATTCTAAGAAAATTAGTTCAAGACTCATACATCAAAGGAAATAAACATATATCGCTTAGAAATGAGTAAGTTTTAGAGTGACAAAAATTTAAATCATAATCATTGATCACAGGTTATTAATTTTGCAAGTCGAATTGGAGG